ATAAACGGAGTGTTAAACGTGGGAGGGCGCTGGTGCCTGTGAGGTAGTTTCGACCTAATGTTACGACTGACTGTCGAGCGAGTAAGTGGAGACGAGCGAGGCAGGCAGGAGCGCCGACGAGCTCTGATCGCAGTGAGACTGGAGCGGAGCTCAACAGGCAGGACTGGAGACAAGATGTGTATTGAGTGAAGTATCTACAGAGCGAAATACACGATGGCTTACCTGGAGACAAGAGGTCGAAACTAGAGTCTCCAGGTAGCAAGGGATCCAGCTATATACGAGGAACGAACAATGGGCGCTAAGGGGACAATGGCGTTGCCATGGGCACCGAGTACAAGGCCGTAGGACAATAGCGAAGAGAGAAACAAGGGGAGCTGTTGTCCGTGTGCAAACAAGGGGAAACCACGCCGAATAGAGAACAAGGGGTGAACGTACAAGGCAGTGGTCCGAATCGAAAAGGAAAACGTAGCCCCGTGGGGGCGGTTCGTGACAGCGTCATACACCACTTGTCTTGGCCCCGAGGGTCCTCCGTTAACGACGGAATCCCGGACTCGGAAAGCCACATCGACTACGAACCCTTTGCCTCTGCTGTGGCCGAAATCCGACGTCTGGGTCGCGGCACACTCCTCGCCAAGCTCGACCTGAAGGATGCATTTCGCCATATACCGGTCCGCCGCGACGACTGGCACCTGCTTGGCTGCACCTGGGCCGGACAATTCTACTACAACGTAGTGCTCGTCTTCGGCGTGAAGTCGGCGCCGTACATTTTCAATCTGTTCGCAGAAGCCCTCCACTGGATCATCCAGCGCCACATTCCGGCATCTCTCCGCCATTATTTGGACGACTTTCTCCCGATATTTCCCCCCACCACCCCATCTCCCCTCGCTCATGCAGCCGTGGAATGGATTATGCGCCTTGGGGAGGAATTAGGACTCGAATTCCAGGCATCGAAAACTGTCCTCCCCACGACATCGCTCGAATTTCTCGGCCTCGAGCTCGACACCAATGCCATGGAGGCGCGCTTACCGGCGGACAAGCTAGCCTGGTTGGGCGAACTCTTGTCATCCTGGCGCACCCGTCGCACATGTCGGCTGCGCGAACTGCAGGCCCTTATCGGGTTCCTGCAGTTCACAACACAGGTCGTTCCTCACTCTAGGGCCTTCGTACGCCGCCTCATAGACTTCTCCGCGACATTCACCTCTGAATTTGCTGTCCGGCATATCCCCCAATACGCGCGTGCCGATATCCACTGGTGGTCTGTGTTCCACTCGCAGTGGAATGGCGTCCAGCTGATCGTCCCGTCCCGCTGCACTGTCCATGTCTTCACTGACGCCAGCGGCTCTGACCGTAAGGGTGTAGGTGGTGTACACGACAACCAGTGGTTTGCTAGCCGTGTTCCCCGTCGCCACCGGAAGCACGACATTCAGTTTAAAGAACTTTACGCTGCTATCCAGGCTGTCCTTCGGTGGGGCCATCGGTGGCCTGGTTGTCATGTGGTCTTCCACATTGATAATCAGGTCATCGTTGATGCCATCGAAACGGACCGCAACCGCTCCCGGCACACTATGTCGCTCTTGCGTGTGCTCCTCATGCTCGCCGCGTGTCTTGATTTCTCATTCTCTGCTGAATGGCTCCCATCTGCTGAGAACGCGCTCGCTGACGCTGCCTCTCGGTTTCAGTACGCCCGCCTATTCCAGCTCGCCCCCCACCTGCCCCGGAAACCCTGCTTGACGAACCCCCAGCTATCTGGTTTGAAACGCACGCTCACTTCTCTCGACTCGTCGCTCGCTACCTGTGGTACGGCCTCGCATCCGGCACTCGACGGACCTACAGTACTGGCCAGCGCTCCTTTGTCGACTTCGTCCGCCTCCAGCCCGCCTTGCAAAACTCCGATGGTAGCATCATCCCCGCCTCACAGCGCGCCATCATGGAATGGGTTGCTTCCCTCGGAGCTCGAGGACTCCTCCCCAAGACAATCAAGGGCTACCTGTCCAGTGTCCGATCTCTGCACGTCGACTCCGACCTCCCATTCACTGCATGCGAAGCTCCCGTCGTCCAAAGGCTACTCCGCGGTATCAAGCGCTTCCACGGGGCTCGCGATCGGAACCCAAAGTTGCCGATCACCCTCGACATCTTGCGGAAACTCTGTGCGCACTTAGCTGAGTCCGTCTCTGCCCTCGACCACACTATGAAGGCTGCTATGGCGCTTGCTTTCGCTGGGTTCTTGCGCTGTGGCGAGTTCACTATTGGGCGCAACAATGTCTTCAACCCGGCGGTCCATCTCTCACGCAGCTCGGTGAAATTCATACCCGACATGGCCACAGCTACCCACTTGCTCCTCTCTCTGCCAGCGTCGAAAACGGACCCCTTCCGGAAAGGGGTAACGATCATCATCGCCGCAGCACCAGGCACAATTACTTGCCCGGTCGCTGCGCTTCGCGAGCTCTTCCAAGGCGACCCCGGCTCCCCCTCTTGCCCTCTGTTCTCTGGTCTGGAAACTGGCTCTGCTCTTACTCGGGATCTCTTCGTATCACAACTTAAATCTCTGCTCCAGTTACATGGCTACGATAGCAGCAAGTACTCTGGCCACAGCTTCCGACGGGGCGCAGCAACATCAGCAGCAGCAGCAGGATATGCCGACCATGAGATCCAGCAGCTGGGCCGTTGGCGTAGCGACGCATACAAGCTGTACGTTGACATTCCCCGGGATCGCATCCTTCATCTCTCCACTCGCCTCCATTGGGCCGAGGCCGAGCCTCACGCTCAGCCTTTCGAGCCTCCGGCTCTTCCCTTCCCTCCTCCTTTGGCTTGAGCTCGGCCCCTCCTGGTCGCGCGAGAGAGCGGTGGCGACGCGAGTCGGATGACTCGTCCGGCGCTGCACCTTGACAATGTCATCCCCCTTTCGCCCTGCCCGACTCACGCGTGATTAGATGTTTCAGTCAATGGGTATTGACTGGGGTCTAAGTCGCGTGGGGAGCACGTGCGCCGACAACGTGCTTTTCTCTTCCCTGTCGCACAAAGCCTTTGTCGCGCTCAACGCGTTTTTGCAGCGCGGGGCAAGGTCTTTGTTTTCTATGATTACTTATATGTACAGGTCTCTGATGCTTCTCCCTCCTTACCTCCTTCCTCACCGGCGTGCTCGAAAGGTACGATACACGTACCGTAGTTCCCGCACCTCCTTCCTCACCGGCGTGCTCGAAAGTCCCCGACTTCGGGCTTCGCATTTTGTTACCCACCCATCCGCTATCCCTACACTTATTATACCACACGTTACGCTAGTTGCTAGATAGTTACTGTCCCAGTCAGTGTATTCGCCTCCGCCGGCTTGAGCTCGGCCCCTCCCGGTCGCGCGAGAGAGCGGTGGCGACGCGAGTCGGATGACTCGTCCGGCGCTGCGCCTTGACAATGTCATCCCCCTTTCGCCCTGCCCGACTCACGCGTGATTAGAAGTCTATTCTGGCCTGTTTCGACAGACAGAAGAAGACACATAAAGCTCATAAAAGATTGGTACAGATTCGGATGCTCGATGCGATCCCAATTTGGCATGGAAGCATATATATTTATCATCAGTTACTCTACAGTATGACACGCGCGCTGGGATACATTGACGCCTGTTCCCGCCCTGCGCCCGCCTGCCGCCCTGCTGCCTCCCGCATCTCACGCCGGCCTATCTACTGCGTGTAAAGTGTGTGGCTTGCGTGGCTATGAACTCGTGCTCATGGAACTGTCAGCGTTACTGTACTGTGGCCCACCTGTGTACAGTCTTTGCCTGCCACCACTTACCGTTATGCAAGTACTACTAACCAGCTCACCTGTATGCGCTCACTACTATGTACCATAAACGTCCTTATGCTAGTACCTACCTTGTAGCCTCAAAGCAGTCAGTGAGAGTGCCGATGGTGGGAGAACAGAAGAGAGAGTGTGCGGAGGCGAGACGGCAATTGACCGCGTTTATGAGTGCGTCGGGGATGTCGATGGCGTCATGGACGAAGGGGTCGGGAACGAGATCGAGGACCAGCCTGACATGGAAATGGATGATAGTGGTCGTTTGGCGCCCAGAGAATTGGATGTATATGGATGCGGCGATGTATACATGAAACAGTTGTTGTATGGAAGGGCTGGCAAATCGACGTCGGATGGCCATTCTATATACAAAAAGTGATCATCGATGCATGAAATCGAGCGTGGATAGACGCTGAGCTGTCATCGCGACAGCTCTGAAACGATGGCAAAAGATGGCATTCGCTGGCAAAAGCCACAAATCGTAGGAAATAGGGAAGGTTCTCACTGGGGATCAAGTGCCATGTTGAAGCATCATCTTATCAGATAAGCGGCCGCCCCCCAGCCGATGACCGAGCCCTCCCTCGCAAGGTCCAGAAGAAGGCCTACCGAGCCCGTCCCTCTTCGTCGCCAACGGCCATATACCCACCGACAGCGCACACCCCGTATACATATACAGCTCCTATACCATCCCGTCCGTAATGTCCAGCGAGAACACCGAGCCGATCCCCGTCCCTCCTCCCACTGAGGCAGTTGTCGCGACCGAGGCTGCTGCTGAGCCTGAGCCTACGACGTCTGCGGACGCGCTTGCACCTGAGCCTGCACCTGCTGCCCCGAGTACCGACGCCTCTGCTCCTGCGCCTGAACCCGAAGCAGTTCCTGCGGCCCCTGCGCCGGAGCCCGCGCCTGCGCCTGCGGAGACCACACCAGCCGCTGAACCTACGGCTGCTGCGGCTCCTGTGACGGAAGCTGCTACTGAGCCCGAAGGTGTGTGTCTTCTCATGAGACTAATGGGAGCTTCGACGGGCCATGCTGACGCGTGGCTTTGCTATATCACCACCTTCTAATCCGCGTGCTGCGTGCGTGGGCCTGTGCTCGTCCGGGTCGTCCCGTTGTACGTGGGTCTATCCTGCGTTCTGCCTCCACGTCTGCGCATCGCCGTGCACAATTCGAAACTCGACCATGTCTGGCGCAGATCCCAAGCCTGCAGAGCCCAGTGTCGTGACGGAGACCGTCAAGAAGGAGGAGGAGGCCGAGGAGCCGCAGAATGAGTTGACCAAGAAATTCACCGAAGCTGAGTGGAAAGCCGTCAAGGAGCTGCGCGTACGTCTCCCTCCTTTCACATCGTCTCTCGCACTCGAGTAATGGTGTTCACCACCTTCGACTGCCGTGCAGTCCCAGCTCCCGAGCGTCTTCGAGAAAGCCTACCCGGATGCCAAGCCCGCTCCTAGCTCGATCACGCTCTGGGGCGTCGAGCTCTCCCCGACAGCGCCCTCCGCGAAGGGGTCCGTTATCCTTGTCAAATTCGCACGCGCCCGCAACCTTGTCGTCAAGGACGCGACGGACATGCTCGTCAACACCCTGAAGTGGCGCGACGAGTTCAAGATCGACAAGGTCCTGAAGGAGCAGTTCGACCCGGAGGTGTTCGGGAAGCTCGGGAGGGTGTACGGGAAGGACAAGCAGGGCCGGCCGGTCACGTATAACCTGTATGGCGCGGTGACGGATCTGAAGGCCGTGTTCGGGGACGTGCAGAAGTTCATCAGGTGCGCGTGCTTCTCCGCGAGCGCCGGAGAACGGATGGTGCTGACGAGGTTGGGTCTGATTGTGCAGGTGGCGCGTGCAGTTCATGGAGCAGAGCATCGAGTTGCTCGACTTCGAGACCGTCGACCAGATGGTCCAGATCCATGGTGTGTGCGGCCGCTCCCATGTCCGATGCCTTTCGAGCTCACGGGTGCGATGTCTGGCACATCCAGATTACGAGGGCGTGAGCCTGACCCAGCGCGACGCGGCGCAGAAGGCGGCGGCGAAGGAAGCGACGAACATCTTCCAGAACCACTACCCGGAGTTCCTGGTGCGTCTTCGTCGATCTCGGAGCGTTTGCCTCAGAGTCCAGCCGCTGACGCTTCTATCTTCTCCTTCTTTCTGCTTCCCAACCCTTGCTCATCCGCCTTTCTCCTTAATCTCCCACGCTCTTCACGCAACGTCCGTGTCGTGATGTGCGCACGCAGTCGCGCAAGTTCTTCATCAACGTGCCGACGCTGCTCACGTGGGTCTTCTGGCTGTTCAAGCCGCTCCTCTCCGCCGCGACCCTTGCCAAGATGTCCGTCGTCGGCTCGGGCCCCAAGACGATCGGGGCAGAGCTGTCGCAGGTGATCGACCCTAAGGAGTTGCCGAAGAAGTATGGAGGCGAGGCGGAGGGCTTCTGACGTTGAGCTTTATAATGTGTTCTTTGACTGATAACTAGGCTGCTTGTTTAAGGCGGACGTGTGGTATCGGGCGCACGTTTCGCTTTGCGCAGTGTTTGTTTCACACTGATTTGGTCTCGCGCGTGGTTTGGATACTCATGTACCGTAGTCTTTCATACCCCGGCCGTCTACGCGGCTTACAATCTATCTCGCTATTCCTCCGACATACTGCATGACACCGGGGGCATCGACCTGTGGCACATGGTGTCCCATCGTAGCTCCATCGTAACGATAGTAGGCGTGTTCAATTCTTGTCGCTCGCTCATTTCCTCGCGCGCCTACCGGGCGTCTGGCTACCTGGATTCAAGGTCAGATCAAGCGCCTGTAGCACAGCGAGCAGAGGTGCGCAGGCAGCGGGTGCAACACGACCGCATGAGGGTCGCGAGCTGGGACTGAGGAGCGACGCGAAAGCTTAACGATTTGAAAGATAGAGAGCTCCATGACTCGAGACGCGGAGTCGTCCCGCAAGGTTTTGAGTCCAATTGCCATCAGGCTTACAGTGGCAACCCCAGGTGGCCAGTAAACCGTGTCGTGCCGAATCTGGTTCCGATTTGGGCGGATTGTGTACGATTATTCTCGGTCAACAAGTCTATAACGATCTGCCGACGTCTCCATCCACATTCTGGACAGATTTTCTGGGCATAACAAACCTAGCATAGGACGAAAACGTCGATCTCGCTGCACCCGCTGCCTGTGCGGCTGTGCTACAGGCGCTTGATCTCAGAGATGGGCGAGGGACTGATGACACCGGGGGTCAAGCGTGAGAGAGTCTATGGTTTCCCTACCGATTGCATGTCATAACTTCAGGCATTGTAGAATTCACTAGAGCCAGAACTCTGGAAACTGAAATAGAGAGAAAGCCTGAGCCATTAGAAGAAGTCACCGCTGCCGACTTTCGGGGTCCTGGGGTCAAGCACATCTCTGCTTGATCTGACCTTGAATCCAGGTAGGCAGACGCCCGGTAGGCGCGCGAGGAAATGAGCGAGCGACAAGAATTGAACACGCCTACATAGTAGGATCATTACCTGATCAGGCGTCCCATCACAATCACATTTGAAACCTTCTTTACAACCGTGTTATATGCTTATTACATTCGTTGTGGAGGTGGGGGAGGTGTGAGATTAGGGTGGGACGCGAAGACAACCTTATCTCAACGTAGCTCAGGCCACCTTCATAATGGGACACGGCATCCTATGATTCAACACCCCCTATGTGATTCAACTCGATACACTTGCTGCTCACTCTCTTTAACCAATGCAGGGCATTGAAATCGAAAGAGATAATTATCTAATGAACAGTACAAATACAACCCAATACAAGGATACACAGAACAACCACAGGTATACAACGTCCGATGTTCCTCACGTGCGCTCACCGCGCAACCGGCGGGCGAGCGCGAGGTCCTTGGGCTGGATGGTGACGCGCTTGGCGTGGATCGCGGCGAGGTTGGTGTCCTCGAAGAGCGAGACGAGGTAGGCTTCGGAGGCCTCCTGGAGGGCCATGACGGCGGACGACTGGAAGCGCAGGTCGGTCTATCGAGGTGCGCGTGGTTAGCCATCGCATTCGACGGGATCAAAGAGGGGAAGGGGAGGGACAAACCTTGAAGTCCTGCGCGATTTCGCGCACAAGACGTTGGAAGGGGAGCTTGCGGATGAGGAGCTCCGTCGACTTCTGGTACCGCCGGATCTCGCGGAGGGCGACGGTACCAGGCCGGAAGCGATGGGGCTTCTTGACACCGCCAGTCGCCGCCTGGGGAAGTTGCACAAGAGCTCGTCAGTATCGAGCGGTAAGGTGCAAACGAAGTTCGGAACACATACGGCGGCGGTCTTGCGCGCCTGGGACTTGGCAGCGAGCTGCTTGCGGGGGGCCTTGCCACCGGTGGACTTGCGAGCGGTCTGCTTGGTGCGAGCCATTGCTGCTGATGTATTTTGTGGTTGGTAGTCGGAAGGGCTGAGTGCGTTGGCTGATAGCGGAGGCTCAGGCGGCGGGGGGCAGACGGATGGAGGAAGGGCAGCGAGCGTCCTGTAGGGGTGGATATATGGAGGGCGACGCGACGGGGTCACGTGCGCCGCGCGACGCGGTTAACGCCGTTCAACAAGGAATAAGGTTCATGCACGTGATGCTGCCACAAGCGCGTCGCGGCGTCTCATATAAGCTCGCTCGGAGCTGCTGCCTCTGTCATCCGTTCTTCCGCCTACTTCCACCTGCCCGCCACTACACTCGACAGCTCGTCGACGCACATTAGTTTAACAACCTCACCAACCTAACAACTACCCATCAAACATGTCTGGCCGTGGAAAGGGTGGCAAGGTGCGTTGGAACTTGGGTAGCTCGGTGTGGTCGGGCAGCCTGAACTTACTCTTGTTTTCTTGCGTCCGGTAGGGTCTCGGAAAGGGTGGTGCTAAGCGTCACCGCAAGATTCTTCGTGATAACATCCAGGGTGAGTCCAGTCTCTGCATTTGGTCAGTGGGGTAGGCGGCCGAGTCTAGTAGCCGAATCACTCTATGGTTGGCCAGGCATGGAGGGTGGTTCGGTAGTTAGATAACGCGAGACCTTTGAGAAGTGACCGGTGTCTTGCTTATCACCTTGGCCGCCGCCCTTTGGCAAGCTCGGGGTCTACCGTAGACGTAATCGCTAACCCACCTTCCATCAGGTATCACCAAGCCCGCCATTCGTCGTCTTGCTCGCCGTGGAGGTGTCAAGCGTATCTCCGGTCTCATCTACGAGGAGACCCGTGGTGTCCTCAAAATCTTCTTGGAGAACGTAAGCACCTCATTAGCGGCTGCGTATCGCCAGGTCGACTCACTAGCTTGCTATCTATAGGTCATTCGTGACTCTGTCACCTACACTGAGCACGCTAAGCGGAAAACGGTGACGGCATTGGACGTCGTCTACGCCTTGAAGCGTTCTGGCCGCACACTCTACGGTTTCGGTGCGTAGAGGGGGCCGGCGTTGTATGTAGCTCGGATATTCTTCGGTGTATTATTAGCTAGTGTAGAACAGGACGAGTTATAATGGGCTACTCCTGATGCCTGCAGGCGTGGGTGTGATTGGGGCGTGAAACAAAGTGGGGGCAGCGATGCTTCGAGCAATGATAGTCGCACTGTGTACACGGATCTCTATGCGTCTGTTTCAACTACTTTCTCTGTGGCCTCATTCCAATCATCTTCCTATCTCTGTTGATGATGTGGCAGCGTTCCAGCGGTGCCTGGCGGGGACTACCCTGTCTAATACCGTCAGGCTGACCGACCGAGAAGTGGGGATGGATGCAGTGTTCTGTCTGATAGCTTGCGACGCCTGCAGCGCTTGGGCGAACCCGACGGTGATTTCTCTGGGATTCCTGCGCGCACGACATGTCTGACCTCGCCGTTAAATACGCTCTCGTCCTAGCTTGGGAACTCGCCAGGTCCCGCGGCCGGCAATTCTCCGTCATTGGCTATCCTGCAGCCCGCGCAGGCCCACGTTCGGATCTTGTCCTTTCCTCTGCCCAACCACAGGGCCCTCCTCCCCCGTGCGCCAGCCGCGAGTTTCGCAGCCCAGCTCAGCTCGCACCGATTCCCCTCCGTGAACTCGCAGGTGTTCGCGCACGCCTTTAGGCTCGGCCTTCTATTCGCTGCAGACTTCTTCGCCCCAGTCCGTCCTCTCCCCCTCCCTGACTTGCCCCCTTCGCCCTCGTCTCGACTCTCCTGCCCCTCGCGCCACCCCTCTGCTATCGCAAGCAAGGCGACCACAACCCATTGCGCGCGCGACCATGTCCTCCCAGCTCCCCAACGAGACCCTCTCCGCCATCTTCGACAACCTGTCCCCCTCCGCGCTCACCACCGTCGCCCGCGCGTCCCACCGCTTCCGCTCCGTCGCCGAGCGCATCCTCTACGCCTCTATCGCCATCCAAGAAGCCCTCCCCCGCGCCTCCCCCACCCCAACACGCACCCACACCTGCGCCTCGACCCTCCTCGCGCGCCCGCACCTCGCCGACGCCGTCCGCAAGCTCTCCATCCGCTGGCACACCGACCCCGGCCCGCGCGAAGAGTACCTCCCCGCCGCGCTCCCCGTCCTGCGCACGCTCAACGCCGCCCTGCGCACGCTCCGCGCCCTCGAGCAGCTCGAGCTCGCGCTCGGCCTCGCCGGCGCGCCGCTCGACGCGCGCGCGGTGCTCGACGGCTGCGCGTTCCCCTTCCTGCGCGTGTTCGCGTTCAGCGGCGTCGGGCGCGGCGCGCTCAGCCCGAAGCTGTACACCGCGCCGAGCGCTCCCGTCGCGTGGTTCCTCGCGGGCACGCCCGCGCTCGAGCAGCTGCACCTGCTCGACTGCTACGAGGCGCTCGAGCTGCCCCCGCGCGCGCTGCCGCGCCTGCAGCTCTTCCGCGGCAGCGCGCCCGCGGCGGCGAGCGTGCTCCCCGGGCGGCCCGTGCGCCTGCTGGGGCTCGTCGGGCACGAGTTCGTCACCGAGCGCGACCTGGGGCGCATCGCGCGCGCGAGCGAGCCCGTGCGCGGCCTGGACCTGAGCCTGATGAGCGTGACGCCGATCCTGCTGAGGGACATCTCGCGGCACCTGGGCGGCGCGGTGGAGGTGCTCAAGGTGAAGCTCGCGCTGCGGCACACGCTGCACTTTGCGCTCTCTGGCATCGTGAGTACCCCCCTCCGCTTTCTTTCCTGCCCTCTGCGCGTGTCCGTCCGCCCGTCCTCACCCGCTTCCCTTGCCCCCTGCGCTCCCTGTCCCTCCACCCCCTCTCCCCGCTGTCCCCCTGCCACACGCCGCACGCCGCACGCCCCCGCCATCGACACCGAACACCCGACACAGAGCCTCCTCGCGGGCCTCTCGCCCGTCCTCGGCGCCTTCCCCGCGCTCCGCCAGCTCGACCTCTCCCCGACGTCCGTCGACGGCGTCGGCCGCGGCAACGCGCTCGAGGAGTCCGCACTCTGCACCACCTGGGCGCGCGCGTGCCCCGCCCTCCGCCACGTCGTGTTCCCCTCCAAGGCCGAGTGGCGCCGCGACGCGCGCGCGCCGGACCTCTGGGTCGTCGCCCCCGCCGACGGGCCCGCCGCGGTGTGGACGCGCTATTAGCGAAGCTTTCAGGGCGGGAGAGATGCATGGCGGCGGTCGAGAGGCCAGGTCGGGTCAGATCGCGGCGGCAGGCGAGCCCTGATGTCGGCGAGGTTGAGGTTGAGGATGACCGGGGTGGCGGTCTGGAGAAGCTCGCTGTGAGCTGTTGGCTCCCTGCACGGTGCGTCTCCAGCTCCTGGTAGTGCACGCTCTGAACTGGCGGGCCCGCGCAGGCCTCCGCCGCACGCTGTTGCATATCTTCGTCACTGCTGCAACACACGACACGCGATACCAGATACACCCCACACACGCATCCAGATAGACGGTGTTCCACGCACGCTGTACATTTCCACGCACGCACTGTATTTATCGGACACCCCCGGAGCACTGTGATATCCCAAGTTCAAGCTGCATTCGCATAGGGGTAGACACAACCCATACCTCCGCGCACTCCCCGCACGCGCACCCACGCGCGGCGTATAATTGGCGAGCGTGGGCTCGCGCCGCAAGCCTACGGTCCGCGTCGTAGCGTGTGGGTCCGTTGTGTGTCCCGGCTGTCCGCCATATCCGCGCCATGCGCCGTTCATATTGCCTAAAGCCTGAGAAAGGCGTGGCACCTCGCAGACGCATGTACGTCATATCGTATCGCACGCAGATGTTCGTGTACCGTATGTCTTCCGCCGGGCATCATATTGCTCGGTACGTATTGGCGTCGCGGACAAACATAGAGCATACACACACCGGTTCCCTGCGGAAGAACAGGAAGTAGACGGAAGTGATCGAGGGCAGATGGGGGACCGGAACTAATAAGATAGGATTGCGAGTACAGACTAACGTTGTCCGAATACAGTCTTTGAGAGGTGGGAGTGGAGCCCGCTCCGAGTCCGCTGTACCACTAAGAGAGGCTAGTTAGAGGGGGGCATATGGCGAACTGGGGGTTATACGCAAATAGTCTGTAAGGGATACATGCGAGTATGGGGGGTATACACATAACCGATAGAATAAAACAATCGCTGGGTGCGGAGGAGATGGAGAAGCCTCGAATGCGATGATCAAGACGGAGGCTGGTGCGGTTGCGGTAGCGGCGGCGCTGACAAGGAGGCAGCAAAGTCTGGAGTCGTCTACGCCTCTTCGCCGTCGTCCACAAAGATATCGGTGTAATGCTCCAAGATGGTCTCGACGGCCTACGTAGACACGTCAGCGACAAAGCTCCAACGCAACCCCGACGATCTCGCGCACGCACCTTGTTCTGCAGCGACGCGTCTGCCATGCCGTTCATGGCGCCGTTGAGCCCAGGCTGGACCTGTCCAAATAGCGTGGGGCCAAACACGATCGCGAGGTTCTGTACAGACATCTGGTTCTGCGCCTCATGCTGGACGACTCTATTGGTGCGGGATGGGGATGAGGAGGGCGAAATGTAAGTCAGCTGCTGTCATCACGGAAAAATTCGTTATTGAGTTGAGGCATGGAATGCATGACTGACTTGTGCAGGTGGCCCATGAGGTACTTTAATGTCGAGTAGTTCGGATCAGGGAGTCCGTTGACGCGCTCATGCAATCGGATGTGCCTTGCACGCTCGTTCTCGTTCCCTGCGATGTCATTACAATGGGTTATCGGCAATTCAATGAGATAGGGCAGAAGATAGTGCAGAAGAGAAGAGAAGAGGTTACGTGAAGGGGATAGACAAAATCAGATCAGCGCACGACAGACGGGCAGGGGCTGACGGGTGCTTACTTGCGGCCTCCATGAAGTCGGCATGCTGACTCGCCGTGAATAGCGGGTCCGGCAGCTCGCGCAGCCACAGCTTGAGCACACTCGTGACATTGCTGATGTCAGTCGACCACTCGTCTACCTCAAGATTCACCGAGTCTAGGTCTAGTGCGGGGGATCAGCATCATCACCGGACCAACAGTCAATCGAGCTCCCCATTCCGAACCTAGCGAGCCCGAAGCACCCAAGTCGCCATTGCCGACGAGTCGGAGGGTTCGCTTGGGTTCTTGGGTTCTAGCTTGGAGACGTATGCGCTCATCGCGAAGACATACCTCGATCAAGCCGCTCCTTCAGCTTCTGCACTATCCTGTGGGTGCCACCGACGCGGTAGATGCCTTGCTGGTCCAGCCCATACTTCTCGATATGCTCGCAGCACTTAGTGAGGATTGGTGGCACGTCGACATCGTCGCGCGCCATCTGCTCCGCGAGGTGCACGCCAAACGTCGGCCGGCCCTTGTCGGAGAGGTGTGCTTGCGCTAGGCTCGGCGAGCTGCCCGGATGGTGCAGCGCGGGTATGGGCGGGAGCTGTGATGCAAGAGCCCCGTGTCAGTTAGACAGCGAGCAAACATAAGCGAGCAATTGGGGAACATACGAAGCCCTCGTCTTGGGGACCGTTCCGCCGCGGACCGCGGTTGCTCTGTCCGCCATGCGCATAGACGTATGCCTGCATCCAAGTCTTGAAGTCGGACCGGTTGTCGATGGACTCCATAGTCGCCTTGAGGCCGAGAACTGCAGGCAAATACTGCTGAGAAGAAGACGCGGCTGCAATGACACAAATTACGTACCGAGGTCGTCTTGGGGTTGGAGGATCGTCGCTTCGCTGTGTATTATACTCTCGCATAGGAACGCGTAGCGCGAGAGGTGGTATTGGGTGCCGAGATCTATCTCATCTACGCACTCTTTCAATGCCTACGCAGGATCGGGTATCAGCCAAGACACGACATGAAGCTCTCGAAGCGAGATGGAGACGTACTCGTAGTATCCGCGGAAGCTGAAAATTAAAGTATTCTTGCCGGATCGTCTGGGTGTCGGTAACAGCCTTGCGGTATGCGTCCGATGCGCTCGACATGCGCGCTCGGATATCGTCTTCTTGTCGTTGGAGCTATACCATCTCGCACATTCAATTCACGAAGCCCTACATGATTCACAGGTATTCGATAGAGCTGACATACGTTCTGGGGGTTCCGACCCTTCAGCAGCATGCCGCCTTTCGCGACTGCCTTCCCGATGACTCGTTTGCCGTTGACGGGTGACCGGCCTTGCATCGCATTGTCCTTCAGGGACTCACCCTCCTTCTGGAGCAGTAGCCGCTCGAGCTCTTCCGCCGTCATGTCAAAGCGCGCCTTAGTCTTCTCCGTCAGCGATTCTGATTCCTGCAACGCGCGTTCGTAGCGAGTCGCCAGCTCTTTTGTCTGAGCGCATTGCGACAACAACGAGGGTGAGATGAGAAGTATGACGCGAGAAGCGGTACTACTCACCGCTTTCCGGTTTTTATCGACCTCCTTCACCAGGTTGTTGAGCTCCTCGCTCATCTCGTTCAGCCGCATCGCAAACTTCAGCCGACTGTCCGCCATCTGCTCGTGCGTCCTCATGGACGCTTGCCAGGCTTGCACGAAAGACCTTCCAAGAGTCTCACATTAGCCCGCTCGTCGGCCTAGCCGACCACAGACAGCGCGCGGGGAGCGGGAAAGAACAAGCACTTACCCTGCCTTCCCGTCCGTCGTCGCATACTCGGACGCCGTAGAGCGCGCCAGCTTCTGCATCTGCCGCCCGTACTCGTCCTCTAGGCCCGCGCGTTTCTTCAAGAACGATGCTGCTTCCTGCATCCGGCAAGTTGCGCTTCCTCAGCAACTGCGTTTCCAAGTCGGGCCCCGTCTGGGCTCGAGACACAAGACGCGCAGTACTCACCTTACATGACGCCATACTCTGCTTGATCCTGTCCAGAAGGAGGGGCACGCCGCACTACATGTACGATATCGCGCGCGCACGTACACAGTCAGATCCCATCGAGAAGGGGGGCGTCGCGAGTATCCACCACCACCGAGAAATCCGAGCTATGATCAGCGCGCGCACAAGCATTCAAAACGCAGCACTCACGTCCGTCTCGCACAGCATGCGCAAGATGTTCTCGTCGAAGCTCGGCTCGACGAGCGTCGCGACCTCCGCCAAGCTCGCCGCCGCCGCCGACTCGCCGTCCCGCTCCTTCTCCCCGTGGCCATGGCCCACGCTCTCGCTCCCGAGCTCGGAGTCCACGCTCACCCGCGGGGGCGCGTACCCGTTCCCGAGCTCGCTCTGCGTCCCCGTCGCCCCGAGGCCCTGTACGCCGATCCCGGACCCGACCCCCGTCATGCCCTCCCACGGCCTTCCTCCCACGCCGGGGCCGGACCCAGAGCCTGAGGCCCCCGCGAGCGGGGGGCGCGTGGCGCTCTCGACGCTCGAGCGGCGGTGGGGCGAGACGGACTTGGCCTTCGTCGGCGTGGGCGGGGTCACTTCGTCGCGGAGACTGTGGCCGTGGTGGCTGAGGGAGTCGGACGAGGGGGGCACGAAGTGCTGCGCCGACTGCTGTGGGATGCGTCCGCCGCCGCCGTTGGCGTTGTAGTATGCTGGAGTCTTTCCGTTGTCGGCGCGCGAGGGGAGGTGGTCGACGTCGGAGGAGCCGTCGCGGTCGCGGTGGTCGGTGCTGTCCCAGGACGGGCGGGGGTGGAAGCTGTCTTCGCTCATGGCCGTGAGTGCGTTGGGTGTGTGTGTCTTGTCGTTCCTAGGTCGGATGCGGATGTGGGAGTCGAACCCTGATTTGGATGCGGGGATATCGAGGAAGAAGGCCGTAATGTTGTTGGGAAGAGACAAGAGGAGCTGTGCGTGTCGTCACCCGTTCTTCGCCCGCGGGACGATTGAAAGATAGAACGAAGGAAATGGGGGTTTGCGCCTGGCTTGGCCTCCGTGCCTGTACTTCTCAGGACTTCGGGGGTGCAGTAGCGTCGGGTAGGTTACGAGGGGTAGCAGCAGTAGCCGCCTTTGTGCGGATTTGCCGGGCGGGTGCTGTCCGGACCAACGGTGGTCGTGTGCGTAGCAGTGATATCTGTCGGTGGTGGTGCGGCCGTCGTCGAGAGCGTCGGGGCGGGGGAGTAGGAAGGAGCTCGAGAGGAGACGGAGGAAGACAGGGCGCGTTGAGTGCCAGGCGGCGAAGGGGATTGCGCTGCGAGCCAAATCCGGCTGCCCCTGCCCGCGTAGATCTGCTTATGTCAGCAATCATTTCCGTACCGAGGAGCGTGGCCTCGAACAGGCTCCGCCACATGCTGGATCTCGGACATGGTTACACTGCTGCATGCTCGGATTTACTTCTATTCAGTGCCTGGATTCACTTCCATTCGTCTGGTAGGTCGGTCCACACATCTACCCTCTCGGTACTGAGCTTAAAACAATATACCGATCACGACGGGCGTATCAAACTGATTTGTATGCGATTGCTCGCATCTACACATAGATTTGACCACGTCACCGACAAAGCGTACAATCATGCTCATTCTACATAGGCTGAGGAGATGCTGGTGCGAGGAAACGATGTATGCAGAGGTCATATGTGGTGCGAAAACAATAATGATAGCGATGGCAATGGCAACCGCGACCTTGTGTTGAAGCAAGGCGAACAGGCGGATGCATGGCGCGAGGATAACTAATGGCGATGGTACACAGCAGAGCGAGTAGCACAGCACAGCACAACAGTCCATGGTCGACCTCTCGGTCGACGTCGTCGTCACGGTCGTAGCCAACACAACGCACGCGCGGAATCGAGCAGGGAGCTCAAGCCCAGCGACCAAGCAGCGCCATGATGCCCGCACCGGCGATCATGCACCCGAGCGCATACGCCAACTTGCCGTTCGACGCGTGCAGCATGTCCGCGTTGAACAGGAACTCGTGCGCGATCAGCTAGATTACAGGATACCTCCATCAGACAAGCCATATCAACCTCCGTGGACAAGCCGAGACGCACCTCCACCAGACCTGTGTACAACAGGATACCGCTGCTGAACGAGTCCAGGATCCCGCTCACAATGTTGGCGGTATTGCTGTTCGGGTTGTACGTCGTGCGGACGCCGAGCCCGACAGCGATCCCGATGGGTGTCGTAATGCCGTAGAGGAGACCGCCAACTACAGGAACGTAGTCGTACTTGGCGGGAAGGCGCATGAACGCCAGTCGGGAACCGACACCCAGACCCTCGAAGGTTTCTAAGACGCGCCAATATTATCGTCAGGACCGGCCTCCCCATACCACGCCGAAGAAACACGCAGACTTACGATGGAAGATGAGCACGACGAACAAGACCGTGAACTGCTGGTCCACAGCGAGCGTCAGGCCAATGAGCACGCTGTGCAGCAGCACACCGAACTCGAGTATCGCGATGCCGATGATCTGCGCCGTGGCGGAGTCCCCGAGCGTGTTCGGCGTATCCTGGTGTTGCGCTCGCCGCCCGCTCTCGAGTTCCTTGTCCGAGTGCGCTTCCGGGAAGTGTGGCCGGTGCCCCCCACTCCCGTGCATGCTGCTGTCTGTGTCCCGGTGCTGTTTCTCCTCGTCGCGCAGGATCTCGGCCACATGTTGCTGCTCGTGGTCGGTCTCCGGGCCGTGTGCCGCGTGTGAGGCAAGACCGTGCCCATGTGCGTCGTGCACGATGCCGAGGCGGGCGAGGCGGGAGGTGCCCCAACGAAAGGCGACGAGCTCGGTGATGAAGATGCCAAATATGCTGACAAGGCAGATTCCCAGTGGGTATGGCTGGTGAAGGGAGGGGATGAGTTTATGTTGATGTCAAGCAGTGCGTAAAGGGGTGCGCCGCTCATCCTCTCTGAATGCACTCTCGCTGCAATCAAGACGGCTGCACTTCTCGGCACGAGATAACATTCATGATGTCTTTCATGGGTGGTAACGCGAACATTCGAGAGCAGCGTTCGGTTGACGTCACTCTGACCGTGTTCACCACGCACGCCACGCGCGGCGCATAAGGACAGACTGAAGAGAGAAGAGACACAGACAGCATAAGGACAGCAGATAGGCACGTACGTAGTCTTGCCATGCAGGATCCAAACATGGTGACCCAAGCTCTTCAATCGCAGGTCCCAACAGGTGAATCAACGCGGTGGCGATCTACCCAATCACCATCGGACATCGTCAGCAAGCGTACGCATATATACTGGACATGGCCGATGCGCACTATGACCCCGCTCCCAAAATACTTTGCCGTCTCGAATACGGGCTGGGGAATATTCGCGCGCAGGTACTTGTTCCTGCGCGCAAGCACTGGGAAGAGCGCGCCAGACATGGACGTCGTCATGATGATGAAGATGGACGCGATGCGCAGCCCGGTCTTGGTGTTGGCATTGCCAGTGAACGTGCAGTCGGCGGAGTCGGACATCGTGGCGGCGTTGAGGTGGTCAGCGAGAGATGGCAACGAAGATTTCGGGCTTGCGAACGCCCCAAAGGCAGCTGGAAGAACTGGAGGAGACAGGGAAGCGGATCGAGTGGGGGAATCCGGGCGGCCTGCCGGTGGTTTATCTGCTTTTGTACAAGGTTGGGCGAGAGGTGCGGGGAGGTCGGAGGAGGATGGTGAGCCTGGTGGCTGCCGCAGCGGGAGGAAGAGGGACGGATGCAGGAACTCGACGCCTCCGACCGCGAGGGTACTCGGACACAAACGACACCCTCCCATTGGCTGCATGAATCTGCTCACGATCAGCGAGTACCCTCCAGGTCAGCGTCTAATGAGTAGCTTGAGCCAATAATTGCGTCGACGTCCGGCTCAGTGTCCCTCTGAGGTATGGCACCTAAACCTGGTCTTTCCTGTTCCTATTTCACTTAACCATAGCCAATAATCCACAGCAATGTTCCATCCAATACATCACCAGGGTCATCCAACATGTCGCGTGCGTTTGCTTTGCTCCCACAGTGGCTTCGATTTGTCCTGACAACGTGGATATCTACACATGCCGAGACGGTGGATAACGGCGAACGACTTCGAACGCTGCCTTGCGGCCAAGGTTCTGCCATCGACGAGTACCCTCCCAGTGGTCACCGGTCAACAACAGGAACTGAGCTCGGTGCCTTGAACACTTCACTGGCTTGCGCGGCAAACCCCGGACCGCCAGCGCTAGACCACAAGGGATCCAACCGATACGGTAACAGATAGCGATACCAAGCAGGCGACCGCAGATCTCTCCTTCGGTCGTGCACGTAACTCTGCGCATATAGCCACAACCAGGAATGTCGGACCCTGTTCAGTTCATAAACAACCTGTCCGGCGCGGGAGCTGCAGGCCTCGCCCATACCCACTCACACGAGGGGCATACACATTCCCATGGACCCAACGAACACGGGCATACACACGAGATCCTTGATCATCCCGGTACGTTGCGGAGATCGCGCACGCACATGCACAGCAAACTTGGAACAACAACATCGTCCCACTGACATATCTTCGTGATTTTAGGAAGGTTCACGGAGCGGGACATGCCCGACTATGCATCCCGCAACTTCGAGGAACGCGGCTTCACGGTCGGCATTGGCGGGTACGTCACACGGGTCTTGCTCCCCAAACCTTCCATCATCATACTTGAGAGTACCTCCACCGTACTTATGCATGTCGCCTGACGTTTGACAGACCAGTGGGCTCCGGCAAGACCGCGCTCACGCTGGCGCTCTGCCAGAAGCTCCGCAAGGAGTACAACCTCGGTACGGACCTCCTTCCTCTCCGCGTTCTCAGTCCGATGCGACGAGATGTGCTGAAGCTCTTCCTTCGCTCTTCCTCCGTGGCTTATCATCGGCCCTTCGTGCTTGTCGACTCGCGATTCTGGCTGTGCAGCAACGGTGACGAACGACATCTTCACGCGGGAGGACCAGGAGTTCCTGATCAAGAACAAGGCGCTCCCCGCCTCGCGCATCCTCGCCATCGAGACGGGCGGGTGCCCGCACGCCGCGATCCGCGAGGACATCAGCGCGAACATGGGTGCGCTCGAGACCCTCCAGGCCAAGTACGGCTGCCAGCTGCTGTTCGTCGAGAGCGGGGGCGACAACCTCTCTGCGAACTACTCGCGCGAGCTTGCGGACTACATCATCTACGTGATCGACGTCTCGGTGCGTCCCTCTCTCTCGCTGAGCTCGTGTCGTGTGTCTAGAAGCGGTGTTATTGACGGCGGAGACGGTAGGGCGGGGACAAGATCCCTCGGAAGGGCGGCCCAGGGATCTCTCAGTCTGACTTGCTTGTCATTAACAAGGTACGGGAGGTCCTGGTTATCACTCAGAGTCCCGACAGACGGTCATTCATGTCTCTAGATCGATCTGGCGCCACATGTCGGCGCATCGCTCGAGGTCATGGATCGGGACGCGAAGCTCATGCGGGGAGACGGACCCACTGTTTTCACGTCTGTCAGAGAAGGCAAGGGCGTTGACGACGTGGTCGACCTCATTCTCGCCGCCTGGAGGACTGCAGGGAGCCCTGGCACGCCGGGGCCAGTAGGAGACGAATGAAGTGGGCCACCTTGGGCTGATTGAAGTGATCTAACTGTATTTGTACGTCTTTCTGTCCTCCAAGGATGCTCGCGTTATCGCCTCAATACGTCTGCCGTGAAAATCATGGAACCGGTATCGCTGTTGTTCGGCATAGCTCGCTCTGATCGCTGGGAACACAGGTACGAGAGAGCAGTATGCGCTTCGTTGGGGTAGCAGCGCGCTCTTCGGCGGCGTGGCAGATTTGTGAGATATGCCAATACTTCACAGCTGCCGTTAGTCGGCCTACAGTCCGATCGAGCGTACTGTACGCTAGAGTAAAGGAATATCCCGCTCATGTCGACGTCCCTACCATAACATCCAGTCCCTCACGGAATATTCTCCATACGTCCCAGACATGGGCGTAAGAGTAAGCATCACTTAAGCACGCGGTGACAACCCCACGTTGCCTGAGCTCGAGGTTCTGGCTTCATGTCTGTCTCCAAAGTTTTCGTTGCCTATCCAATGGAACCCAGAATCTTATAGAAGGAGCGCCATGTATGATCTAAATGCCTTCACTATTGATTGCGATGTTCAAGCTGACTGAACCACGGCTCCACTGTCCTGTCCAGATTATTCATCGACATCGAAGGGTGCTGGGATCTCGGACATGCAAGCAAGCACCATCGGGTGCATGTGGATTTACGTCACGGGATTAGTAGAACAAGCTCTGACCCCTCCGAAGCCCGTCGTTGAAGGCCATGGAAGCGAGCGATTCTGGCTCACGCGGGGGAGATGAGTGGCGTGTCAGTCTTGGTCGAGTCCCAAACTAGAATGCATCTTCTCAACCGTTCCGTGTTCCAGTACTCCGTCCTCCATATTACGGTGAGTCTCTGCTCAAAGGGGAGGTAGCGCCAATCTAGTAACGCGAGAACGGTAAGCCCCCGCTTGTCAAAGTGCTCCCGATAACACACATGGCCACTGATAGTCTGTAGTCGTTATTGTGTCCTGACCGAGTCCCACCAGGAGCAGGAGGCCCCACTAAATGTCTGTGTCTTCTAAGTTGTGCGTATCCCACTGTCAGAGGCCAACCTGGGAAATGATCACCATTTGCACGTACACCGGCGAAGTCATTATCACCCTCGAATATTCAATCGTGATCTAATACTACCGTGACATGTCCTACTTCGCTCCCTGAATTCATGTTCGCTCCCCTGAACTTCAAATATACGCTCGCCGAATTGGTCGAAACGTCATATATAGGGTCCTAATAGTAGACGGTACGTACACATGTGCTAGTAATACGCTGATTTCGGTCACAGCTGCTTATTCATGAGAATGAGTGCAGGAAGCCGGAGATAGCTCTTGCGAACGCAGGTTTCTTGGCGCACTGGTATGAATCGCAGATTAGATCGACAAACACAAGTCAAGCGACGCCTCACCTGTTGGCACATGTACGTGCTCGTGTATCCTTCCCCGCTGCAGAGCGGGAAGCGGTCGTTGTCACGGACGTCCGTGTCCACTTCGAGCGCGTCACAGTACCAGCAGGAACGTGCTAGCTGGTCCTCGTCGAGCAGAAGCTCGACTTCATGTGCATCGCGCTCCCCGCCTAGCTTCGCGTGCATGCGTTGTGTACGCCCCGTAGGTCGTATGACCTCAGAGTCGGCGGCGCGCAGAGCTGCGAGAACGCCGTTGGGAGGTCGGAGATGGGGCGGTTGACGGTCGAGGTCCGCGTCGAGCCAGATCAGGGGGCGACCGGCAGAGGATAGCGGGGGGACGGTTGAACGCGGCGTAGAGACATTGAGGACGATGTATTCTCGGGTAGCAGCCATACCGTACGCGCGAGCAAGAATGACGAGGTAGGTGCCTGGACTCTTGCGGGCGATAGCGAGCTCGAAGCTGCCTTTGACGATGTCGGGGGACGTGAAGATGAGCATGGCAATGTGTTAGTTGGCCCTTGGGCTGCTCTGTGTGGGCTTATGCGAGGCTCAAATGAGGCATTGCGTTTCTACCGCTACACGGCCATGACGTGGATCACGTCGTGATGTATGAGAACGACGCCCACAACGGAGGCGGTGCACCGGAAGGTCGACGCCTGTGCCCCGAACGGCTGAGGCTCTGCCTGGCTCTCCACTTCCCATCATGACTGTACCCCGACAATCATTCCACGAACTACCTTTGCTTCAAGCTCCAGTGCATTCTTGCACCCCGAAAGATGCTCTTTTCAGGAGGGTTCAGATCCTCCACCTGCGTCTTCGAGCCATGTAATTCCGTGCAGAGCCTCTTTTACAGTGCCAAGCGATCCATGTTGCTCTGAATGGGGATACCTCGTCCTGGGCGTACCGATTCCTCAATATGCAGCACCTTGGCGGCACAGCACTCCAATGTCTCACCCTCATAAGCATCACAGGGCAATCATTGACTAATAACACGACACCGCTCTGTCTCCCTAAACATTTTCTCCGCTTGCACGCTGGTGATCTCGGTCAAGACATTCAGAGGAATAGGCAAGCGCGGCACAGTGAACAGGGCTGCCACGCCCGGCGTTCCTGACATCAACGCAAGGCAGGCAAATCCAAGTAGCTTGGCAGGGCTCGTCCGACCGACTACGGACCCCTGGGGGGCACGACATGAACGGCCAAATGGTTGGTGTGTGATTTTGGCGCCCAGTGATCTGAATTCGTTTTACGATGACTGATGCGCACAGGCCTGGTCTCCAAATTCGATACATCCGGCTAATCATGACCTTCGCCTCTTCCACATGGTGGTGGCACAACTAAGGTCCCGGAATTGGCGGTGTAACGCCCCCGTCGTCGTCAGCTTCCTGGACGACGGGCTCCCGAACGCCAAACGCCGTACAAGCATATATAAAGCCTTCGTCGACGGGTTGTCGTTCCTCAGCTCGTTTTCCCTTCTCTTCCGAGCCGACTCTCTTCCTTTCTTCTTTCAACTCTTTTCAGCTGGTACGATTAACCGTGATGGTTGTCTTGCCATCGTCGAACTAACCTTCTTTGTCTAGCTGTGCGGCTTTTCCTTCACGAATCAATTTACCGTCAATACTCCCGCAAGTCTATCACGCACAAGAACCCACTAGAGCACGTCAAGCATGCCCTCTTTGAACCGCCTTCTTGTTCTTGCCGTTCTCGGCGTTTCGCTCTGCGTCCAGGCTGCGCCTCTGCCCGAAGGCACTAGCGTTGATGTGCGTATCGACCAGGCTTTCATATTCCCCCCGTTTTGATAGGCTCCTCGCAGGCTATCGCAGCCGCCAAGCGCGACCTTGTAGCCGCTGACGACCTTTACGAACGCCACGTTGACGATGACGACGTTGAGGTACGTACTAGTATCGCGAGCTTCAAAGGCCTCTGCTAAAACTAACATTCATGTTCCGCAGTTCCTCGATGCGGACGAGGTTGAGGACGACGATGAAGATGACCTTGAAGAGCGCGACTTTGACGACGAGGAGGAGTTCGAGGGTGATGAAGATGACGAGGAAGGCACCTTCCTTGAACGCCGGAAGGCTAAAGCCGTCAAGGCACCTAAGATCGCAGCTCCGAAGCTACCCAAGGTAGCTGCACCGAAGGCACCTAAGGTCGCCGCGCCGAAGGCCGCGAAGCCGGTGAAGGCCCCCCCTCCGGTAAAGGCTCCTCCCCCCGTTAAGGCTCCCCCGCCCGTTAAGGCCCCTCCCCCGGTCAAGGCTCCGCCTGCCAAGACAACCAAGGCGGCTGCTAAGACAACTAAGGCGGTTGCTAAGACAACTAAGGCGGCTGCTAAGACCACGAAGGCAGCAGCGAAGACCACGAAGGCAGCGGTGAGTGTAAGTCATGCCTCATCCCGTGCCATTCTCAAATGTCCCGCTAGGCCTCTAAGACTACTTCCACCAAGTCGACCTCAACTGCCGGGGCCGCTGTACGTTCCATCCGTCGCACAGGGCTATCTGACTGTGACTGATCAAGTTCACAGTGCTCTGCCACGGCCAAGCCGAAGACGAAGAAGCCCTTCTTCGCCCGTGCGTCTGACTACGTGGCGCACCTCTTCGAGCGCGACTCCCAAGAGTTCATTGGCTGGCACGGCACCAACAGCGTACGTCTCGTCCATGTCAGGTCGCTTTTCCTCACATTGACGTCCGACATAGGACACGGCCGCCTTCTGGGCGCAGAAGGGCCAACTCGAGAAGCCGGTCAAGGCTGACGGCCTGTTCGACTTCATCGGCCTCGGGCCCAAGTCCTCTTCAGGCACGAGTGGTGCCGATGCTGAAATTGGCCCTGGTGTGTACGTCACAGACGACCAAGACATGTGCGTACCGCTATCACATCACGCCGCATACAACCATATCCTGACGCGTTTGCAAAGTGCGATCGCGTTCGCGAACAACAACGCGAAGGTGAACCCCGGCACTACAGCCCAGCTCTGCGCGGTCTTCGCCAAGTCGTCCGCCAACTGGCGCACCGCGATTCGCAAGGCGTTCATACCTGAGAACCTTGTCGGCGATTCGTCGAACGCGGCCAAGAAAGCGCAGCTCGAGAATGCCCGTCTCGCACATGTCAAGCAGGCCGTCCCGGGCGTGAGCGCGCCGAGCGTGGTCAAGTTCTCGCTCCTCAACCGCATCAGTACGTAGCCTCATTCGCCCCTCCTTGACATGGAGCTGATCGCACATCGGACTATGCAGCCAAGACCGGCCAGCTCGTCCTTCCGGCCACGATCACGAACCAGTTCACGGCGCAGTGCTTCAAGGCTGACGGCGGCGCGGCGGCCCCGGGCACGAACAAATTCCCGGCGTTCAGCTACAACGGCAACACTCTTCGCACGGAATGGAACATAGCTGCTGAGAACGCAGGACAGTGCTCATAAATGGTCAGGGGTGTACGATGCGGTAACAGTGAAGTGAAATGTACCATAACCGAGCCAGCTGTAGAGAGTTCGTCCATCCATGGACTATACTGCATCACAACTCTCATTGAACGAAGATCTTTTACCTCCAAACGTGATGCATAGACAGGTCCGCGAATGACGCGAACTGTCAATAGGAGCTGAGGACTTGATGTTTGATTGCGAGATGGCCGCCAGGAGGCGGTTTGACCCACTGCACACAGCCGTCGTAGACGAGAAGCCGAAAGATATGGACGAGTGCAAAACCAGTGGTGGCTTTATTGAGACGACCTACAAGTCAAGTTCTATAGCTGCACACTTTCCGCGGGGTACTCGGCGCAGCTGTGTTCACCTTAAGGCACGCCTCGTCTCTTTCGCTTACAACAATGGTCCGTAATTTTCCATGCTGCGATGGCAATTTTCGAGTGTCGTCCTGCGGTAGAGTTGAGGGTCTGAGACATCATCTAAGTTCAGCGTCGCTGCAACTCGTAGGACATAACAATCTCCCATTTAGCTGCCTTCGATGGAGGATGCGACATCGCTTCCATGGGATTTATACTTATCGCCACACGCCATGATCAGCTATCTTTTCAGGCTACTTCCTCCAACATACAGCTTACTGATCCATGACTTCACTCTCACCTTATAGCAAAATGGCGTATGATCAGTATTGAGGTCGGTTTTGGGGCATACATCGAAGTGCTGACCAGAGCCCTTGCGGGAACATAGGAATCGGGCTCAGATGACTGCGAAGGGGCTCCAAACATCACCCCTTTGTTCATTGTGCAGGAGGTTTGACCTTCCCCGCGTGCGTACAACATAGGCACCCAATATCTTCCCATCAATCCTCTGGTCTCCTAGCGAAGGAGCGCTCTTCGTTGTACTGTGAGTGCATCGCTCCGTATTTATTGAGGTTATGGGGTATTGCGTGGCCACTCACTGTACTCAGTCAGAACCATATCCCTCTAAAGCACCACCCTCCGGCAGAGCGCCCCACTGGGTGTCTATATCGTGCAGGACACTCATTGCATCCTGGTAATCGGAGGCTCGTTGTGCTTGGTCGGAGGCTCGGACGGATGCTTGTTGTACTTGAGCTGGAGTCACCATCGAGGAGGGTTTCGGTCGCGCCAGGGCGCCGCTCCTGAAAGCGTTCAGAGGTATCTTCTGCGATTGCCCATACACGCGGGCTACATCGCGAATTGCGATCTTGGCCTTCCCGTTTGGGTGCAATTGAGTGTTATGCCTGGGAGGTTGTCGAAGGCTCTGTCAGCTTTGCAAGATGTCGACGGGTGATCGTGACAAACTGGTTAGCCTGCATGACTCGAGATACTGCGAGATCAAGAAGATCAGTGTGTGTGTGTGTGTGGCTGAGTGCGAGAGGGGGCTTCAGGCGGCTGCAGGCAGGGCCCTGCAATCGATGAGCTTTGTGGTACGTGAATGCTTCGCGAAGCCGATTCCGGATGACATGATTCCCACGTAGTAGTGTTAGCAAGCTGCCTCCGAGAGACAAGCAAAGATGGTAGCATATTTGCGCTCGGAGGACTGGCTAACGGGATCGACGGCGCCACCCACTTGAGTCATCGTTTCGCATCGAGGTGCACGGCCGACGGCGTTGAGTATAGGAATGGTGTGCTGGCTTGCCTATTCCGGAACAACGCCACCGAGGCGTCGGGCGCATCAATTGCCCACATACGCTCTCCTTCTCGTCTTCCACGTTGTCGCCTTGAGGCCCCCACCGAGCCGTAGAGCTACATATCGCGGCGCCCTCTTAGAACACGCCTTTTGTGGCCATTTTTTGCTCGTGAGTGATACTCGTTCTCCCAGCAGTGGCACGAGGCTCGGACGGCAATCGGTATCAACCCACCATGACAGTCGCCGTGCCATTGTGCGCGCAGGCCGACGAGGTCCGCTTCTAGACCCCTAACGGACGAAGGACACGAAGGATCAAATGTCCGCTATGGAAGGTGTGTGAACAATGCTTCCTAGTTGCCTTATGGGAACGCGTATCGATGGCCATGATAAAGGGTCGTTTGCCCATCGAGCGCAGGAGACATACGGCATAAAGGCTGTCCAGGAAGCAGCCGAGCATGTCGTTCCTAGAGCCCTGCCCAATCTTGCTCCATTGGGATGTGTCATCGAATGAGTCGTCAAGGCCACCTGCCATTTGTGGCGACCATTGTCTCCAGAAGCGCAAACACGCTGGCGCCCCGTGATACTTGGTTTCTCTCGCTTGCGCTGGTGGGTGGCGTCGATGCCTGAAGTCTGCCTCACAATACCGTTATTGGCAGCTTGTATGGCCCCCTTGAGCTGTATCCGGAAAGAGACCTCGCGGACCGCGGCTGTGGGCGGCATGTCGACTATCCTGGTGCCGCAAGGCTCTGTAGAGTGGGTCCGCGACCGCCCTGGCCTGATGCCTTCGCGGATCAGTCGAGTATAAAGTGTCGGGCTCACACGAGTGGGCGCGTTGCGTCCTGCATATCTTCGCAGCCTCCCTTCTATCCACTGACAGCTACCAGCGCTGCGAAATGCCTAAGTCCACAAAGAAGAAGCCCTCAATCGCCCGGGGAAATAAGATCAAAGGTGCTTCACAATGGAGAGTTCTCCCTGCGCAACTTCGATCCATTCCCCAGAGTGAACAGGTGAGCTTCTGCTTCGTGGAAGTACGCCGTGGATACTCATCATACCCATACCTGTAGTTGTTTTCACTATGGGGGACAGACTCTTTTCGTCAAGCCCCACCCACCGCGTTGTCGAGCACGTCGGTATGGGATGCCAACGACCCGAGTCGTACCGTTGTCTATCCATCTGACGGTAGTGCTCCCGTGAAGCACCGTCGCCCCCAACCCCTGCCGGCTACTCCATCTGTTATCTCAGCCCCGAAGACCGTCCAGCACTCTCTAGGTGCAGAAGACTCTTCGCAGTGTGCCTTGCACCCCTCATCGCAACTGGGACCTTGCTCATCGTCGACCGCGCAGCCTCATCCGAACAAATGTGTACGTGCGCCACATACTGCGCAAGACTATCCGTCACGTCTATCGTCACCGTCGTTGTCCTCCCAGCAAGAGAGGAACGAATCCTTCGACGAGCCTTCCTTCCTGGCTTATCCATCTTGTGCGCTTCATCAGTGTTCTTCTGAACTTAGCAATACCTCTCCAGAGCCCTCGTCCTGCTTTCCTTCCCGAACGGCGTCTCCCGCCACAACCATTCCATCTCCGGCGGTCTCTCCGCCACCGCGCCCTTGGTCATCTCCTGGCGAACTTCATCCCATCCTCTCGTTTCTCCAACATGGCCATATCAATCTTCAGCACGCACATGGCACGTCATCCATGTACAGGGCTCGATCAGGACCTCCCAACACTCTTCCACAGAGTCATGGCGAGGGGACACTCAGTGTCCACGACGTGTGCTCTCAGCGCAGGTTGCCTCCCATGAACTTCGCACAGGTCGTCAAACCTTCGCTCGAGCAAGAGCGGGCCCAAGAGCGACGGGCAGTGAACGTTGTCCTACCGGCGATCCGCGCCGATACATGTAGGCCAGGTGAAGATCAGTTGGACTTCGAGGAACGCGGCATCGATGCGGCTCGAAAGTCAGAGCGCAGCTCCAGGCACCGGCCCTACCACATCCCTAGCATGGCGACTGGGGCGCATCGTCAAACGCAACAAGAGAGACGCAAGGCGAGCGAAAACGATCTGCCGCCCCTGCGTCTGCTCATAAATCAGATAGAGTACGACGAACACAGGCGAGTGCAAATGCGCGCGCAATTTAGGTTTCAAGTTCCTTTCGCAGACAAACTTCCCATCCCCGCGGCTGCCCCCATGAAGCGCAGCTCGTTCACACCCTCGCGTCACGAAGACGGTGCGGGAATGGTGGCGTCTGTTCCTGTCCAGCAGCCTATGGTGTCGTCGTCGTTACGTGCTCCCATTCCCTCTGTGCCGACCTCCCAGCAGCTAGTTGCTGGTTCCATCAGTCTTGCCTTCTTCAATTCGCGCTCCTTTGTTCCAATGCATGGAAGTCCCTCCTTCTCCGCCAACGAATCTAGGGGCGCTGGGGCGCACGCCTTGTGAGATGAGTGGCGTGCACCACGTCTCGTTGTCGCAGTCTCCAATCGCAATCTGTCACTGAAGTTCTCCCAAGTCTATCCCTGTGTGCGCTTGCCATCCATGTCGTTCCTCCACTTCATGTCTTCTCCCCTTGATCATGTATTCCTGTGCGTTGTCATTGATCATGCTGCCATGTATTGCTATGACTATGTATGTGATTAATTTGCAATGTGGCATTCGCCATTACCCTATACTGGTGTTTTTTGTCGAGATAGGTCGATGTGCGTAGCTGGACCTCGATCGCTCATCATTCAGGCCGCATGGTTTTCTCTCGGTCTTTCTGAGATAGAGCCCTTCACGAAGTCCCACAACGACGGCTGGAAAATAGACGATGATCCGACTGAGGACGACCATTTGGTCACCGAGGGTGGATGTGTGTCAAACACTCACGCCTGAAGGCCCTGAAGACTCGCTCGACAGTAGTGCGATCATTGGCCCCACAACACTCATCGACACCCACCATCGATCCGCCTTTTACAACGCTATGTGAATGAGTATTCATGTGCTGGTCACGAACACCACCACTCCCACGTCTGCCACATCAAACACTCCTGTGCGATGAAATGAATTGTCAGTGACTACTCTTCCTACTCACCTTAGTCGCACACTCCTCGAGTAGGCTCGATTGTTCTCTTCCTCCAGTGAACCTCTCGCAGCACAAGACTCCCGGAATGGTTCGCCTTTGCGACGCACAGTGTTGTGACTAGCAAAAAATACGATACAGTGCGACCAGCGACTGGCTTCTGTGCTGTCTACTATGGTTTGTTGTTCAACGCAAGACCAGGTAACGATGAAAGTCAGTACTTGTGGACTGATCGGGAGTTGTTCAGGTCCTCCGTATCCACCTGGCGCTTACTTCTAACACGTGACTGTCCTTGCATGAAATTTCGTACACGGTGCAACTCCAGGTCTTCTTCGAGCTCCTTCGGCTTGTCCTTCTAGCATACCCTTCTCGTCTCATCATAGATCCTAGTCGTACGTTGAAGTCTGGCGCGATACCTGCGATACCTGACGTCTCATCGCCATGCCTGACGCACGCCTTGTCGATCCCAAGGCAACCTTTGCCTCCTTCAGCCAGATCCTCGATGCTCGGATACTGCGAGCTCTCGCCGACATGGGGTTCTCCCGGCCGACGCTTGTCCAGTCAAAGGGCATACCTCTTGCACTTGAAAACCGCGATATTCTGGCCCGAGCGCGGACGGGAAGCGGGAAAACTGCTGCTTACTGCATTCCAGTCGTCCAAAAAGTTTTGAACGCGAAATCAGTGAGTATCTCTCTCTTATGCACGACATCTGCACCCGCGCAGGTTTGATTACGACGCGCCGGAGGAAGGTAGAGGCCGCGTGCCTCTTTTCAGAGACTGCTGATAGGTAACCGTCCGCTCAGCATACCGATTCAACTGCCTTGGCCTGCCTCCACTTTAAATCTTGATGCCCAGTGTTACAATGTTGCCCTAATAAAGTGTCTATTCCGGCTTTGGCACAACGCATACTCACTATCATGACCAGAGCATATCCGAAGAGGACTCCAGACGACAGGCGACGCGCGCCCTCATCCTCGTCCCGACGCGAGAGCTCGCGGAGCAGGTGTCCGCGCACCTGAAAAGCCTGCTCACATACTGTGACGCAGACGTGGCGGTAGCAAATGCCTCAACCGGAACCACCGCGCACCTCCAGAAGTGAGTAAGTCGTTCACTTACGCTTGCCGCTCGGGAGGATGTTGATGAGCTCTGTCGTAGGACACTCCTTTCGGACAACCCTGATATTGTCATCGCCACTCCCTCACGTGCGCTCGCGCTGCTCCAGTCCAAGGTATGCTAGGCCCTTCACTGACGGGAGATCTGCACTCATTTGCGCAGGACTTGTCCCTCGGGTCACTGGAATCGCTCGTTATAGACGAGGCAGATCTCATCTTGTCATATGGACATGACGAAGATGTTCGCCAGATTTTCGGAGGTGGATACCTGCCAAAGGTGTTCCAATCGTTCCTTATGAGTGCAACGATGACGGAAGACGTGGAGGCGCTCAAAGGCCTCGCGTTGCGGAGTCCGGTGAGTATAAGCAAGATGTGCTGATACCAATTCCCTGACAATCAGATGCCAGGTTATACTGAAGCTAGAGGATGAGGAAGATGAGGCTGCGAATCTGACTCAGTACTCTGTCCGGTGAGCGCTGCTTCGTTGGTGCAGACCACCAGCCCCATCGCTTACTCTGTTTCCAGCTGCTCGGAAGTCGACAAGTTCCTGCTGACATACGTCATCCTGAAGCTCAAGCTCATCAAGGGCAAGTGCATCCTCTTCGTCAACGACGTCGACCGGTGTTACCGCCTCAAGCTCTTCCTCGAGCAATTCTCGATCAAGAGCTGCGTGCTCAACTCGGAGCTGCCCCTAAATTCGAGGTACCATGTTGTGCAAGAGTTCAACAAGGGCGTGTATGATTATATCATCGCATCGGACGAGAACTCAGGGAAGGCAGAGCAAGATTCGAATGATGAGCAGGAGGACGAGGCTGAGGAAGCCGATGACGACGATTGTAGGTCTGCTACCATACGTCGCTCAACTGTGTGCTGACGCTTACTGCAGTCATGTCTTCGCAACGTGAACCCGAAGCGAATGGCGCGCCATCAGAAGACGATGCAGACTCGACGCCAGCCCAGTCTCTCAAGCGAAAAAAGCGCGCGAATTCGCCCGCACCCGAGTCCTCGTCGTCGTCAAAACCAAAGTCCAGCAAGCGTAAACGGCGCAAGGGCGGCGGCGCCCCCGACGCCGAGTACGGCGTCTCGCGCGGCGTGGACTTCGTCGACGTCTCGTGCGTCATCAACTTCGACCTCCCCGCCTCCTCCCGCGCGTACACGCACCGCGTAGGCCGCACCGCGCGCGCGGGGCGCACGGGCATGGCGCTCTCTTTCGTCGTCCCCAAGGAGCTGTGGGGCAAGAACCGCGTCGTCGGGTGCGTCGAGAGCGCGAAGCGCGACGAGGAGGTGTTCGCGCGGGTCGAGAGGGAGCAGGCGGCGAGGGGGAGCCAGATCAAGGAGTACCAGTTCGACATGAAGCAGGTCGAGGCGTTCAGGTATCGCATGGAGGACGCGCTGCGGGCGGTGACGCGGAGCGCGATCAAGGAGGCGAGGATCAAGGAGCTCAAGACGGAGATCCTGAACTCGGACAAGCTGAAGGTGCGTTTCGCTTTCCGGTGATTGATGCGGGGATGCAGGGGCTGATGGACGTGGCTTGGGTGTAGGCTCACTTCGAGGACAACCCGCTAGACCTGGAGTACCTGCGGCATGATAAACCGTTGCACCCTACGCGGGTGCAGTCGCACATGAAGCACGTCCCGAAATACCTCCTCCCGCGGATCGCGCCCGTTCCGGGGGCGGACGCTGGCGTCGAGAGCGACAGCAAGCCTGCACCTGGACCAGGTGACGTTGGCTTCGTTCCGTTCAACAAAAATGCACGAGGGCGTGGTCGTGGTCGCGGGAGAGGTCGAGGCGGTAGGGGCGGCGGGGGACCCGGTCGGGGCGGAAAGAAGAAATCGGACCCACTCAAGAAGTTTGGCTAATCTCGACGCTCACCTTGACCTGATCCGTTGGTACGCCTGTGTATACACTTGCATGGCCCTTCGTCCTGCACTGGCAGCACCGTCATAAGATGCCGACTTGTCGTTCCATTTTACTGGTCTACCTGAAGAGGATGGCATGCACTTCGTCTGTGTCCTCCATCTCGAGACTTCGTTACAAGTTCAGTCTACAGTCGGCCTGAGGCACACTTCACAACAACTCCCATGATCAGGGTCGCTCCATCAGTAGGTCGCTAATCCGCTCATGAGGCGCTCCACCCGGGGCCTCCGTCCCTCGATTACATGCTTGTACCCTTGGACATGCCTGAGAGCTACTGCGTTAAGATTGCATACAAGGTCAGTCGTGGAGGTACGCACGAGATCATATCATCCGAAGCCCTGTATTTCATCTTCACCGGTGGCGGCTGAATATCGAAGACGTGCAGTACAGATGCGCAGTAAATCATCAAGGACGCTTCCGCAAAGTGGCGACCCGGACATATCCTACACACTCGGCATGAGTTCTTGCGCACATCAGAGCGCATGCACACGCGTACTGACCTCCGTCCAAAGCCAAAGACGAGCTCTACTGGGTCAGTCGCTGAACGTCTGCCTTCCTTAGGCAAATAGCGTTCGGGGTTGAATGCTTCTGGGTCGGGATACTCGTTTGCATTTCTTGACACGGCCCTTCGCACATCATATCAGGGCGGAATTGGCAGCTGGATAGGGGAAGTACGTACCACAGGTTCTGATTGACCAATGCTCCTGCAGGAATGTGATATCCATTATACTCGTCATCCGCTTCCGCGACGTGTGGTATGCCGAGCGGTGTGATGATATGCCATCGCAGTGTCTCCTTGACAATTCCTTGAGAGACGGAAGAGAGGCCAAGTCGGAGAATTCGGGCAGCCGGTCAGGTCCTATAACAGCATCGAGCTCTGCTTGTGCGCTCGTTTGTATGTCAGGATGCATGGCCATCGTGAGGAAGTAGGCTTCCATGGTAGCGTTGGTCTACAAGAAGAGGCGAGTGTGAGTCGTTGGGTACGACGACGCATGACTGGATACCTGCCGTATCAACACCCGCTGCGTTCTAAAGTGAGAGGATGAAACATGGAGATATGTTATATGCACACCTATGAAAGATGTTGCCGTGAGGTACAGGCACATGTCCCGTACTTCAGACGTGTGCACATCCTCTATGTTACTGTCTGCGAGAATTCGCGTCACCATTGATTCTCGGATGACGCCCGTTTCCTCCGAGAGGGTCGCACGTCAGCCCTCGCATCTCGTACAATTGAATAAACCGCCCTCACCGTATCCGTAGTCGCGATGGCGAAGAGCTTGTTCGTGGTTTTCGCTATCTCATCTTTCGTGTCCTCCGCAAGTCGCTTAATTCCAGACCAAGAGGGTAGGTAGCGCAAGAATGGAAAGGCTTCCATGACATGGGCACCCGGGAGCAGCAAGGGCCTGCTGATATCCTGCATCGTCTGTACCATCTCGAAGTACTGGCGATCGTCTTCTTCTCCTGTGAGCTCTACCCCATATGCGACGCGCAAACCTGTCTCCGTGCCTGCACTAGGGATATGCGTGAAGCGGTGGACGTGAACCAAACACAGATGCGACTCACTAGTGTACGTGTGCGAGGAACTCCTTCGGGGACTCTGAGAGTCGGCACGGTAGATTTCGATCACTTTTCAACTGCACCGGATGCCATTGTGCGATGGCGTCCGCGTTGAACATACGATGAAAGACGCGGCGATTCTCACGCCATTTCCGTCCATACACGAAAAAAGGAATGAACTGATCCAATACGAGCCTAGTTACTGCAATTGGAGCGAGGAACCCCATGGGGAGTAGTGTAACTGAGCACGCACAGCTTGACCATGGTAGAGTTCAACCGACTAACCAACTAGAGAGGTTGACTGACTTCTTATCCAGCAGCTCTAAGGCGTCGGAGAGAGCATTGAGCGTAATGATCTGCCGCCCAAGGACGTTGAGGTACACGATATCGCCTGATGCTAGAGTGGTCGATAAGTTCGTTGAGTATTGAAGGATATGCTACCTACCGTACTTATTTGACAACGCCGCGAACGAAGGTCCCAACTTCAACCGCGGTACATCTCAAGCATTTCCAATGATGGGAAGCTGCCGAGGACCGGGAGGCAGAGGCGGAGTCCCTTTACGTCGAGGAAAAGCTCTGAGAAGGACAAATGAGACTGAGATCAGAGCGACCCATAGACGATGCTTATTGATAGTATCCCGTTCGTGGACATTGTGGTGGACGAGGAAGACGCGGTTAGAATTTCAAAGGCACTGGCGACGTGTGGACTATACTTACTTGAAGTAGAGCAAGACGGGAAGCACACCCCGACGTGGTTGCCCCAGACCCCCATGATCCAATTAAGCGCCCCATCTCGGATGAGTCTATCGAGAACACCGGCACGAGGCTGTCGACTTGTCTCCAAGCTTCAAAGCATTTTGTAGGGATTTAGATTTCCCGCATAATGGGGGAGTTCATGAGTGTGAAGTCCGTGGTACGTATACATCTTTCACGAGACGCTAACCAGCCATATCGCAGACATTCAACTCCCTCCAACATGCAATGAATTTACATAGATCCTGGTTCATATGCATGGTGCAGGGTGCACAGGCACGTAAAGATTCATCGCTGGAGCTCATCGAGGTAGAGCTCCGACGTTCTTGTGAAAAGCGCATGTCTCAATGTGGCACAGCCCTTGCATTCCAGGGGCTACATACTGTATATTGCAGCAGCAGGGCGAACTCTGTACACTAGTCCTACTGTGACTACAATTACAATATGTACGGGACCAGGGCGTACGGCACTTCCTCCCTATACTTCAACCACTCTCCACCGAAATGGGTCTTGAGCTTCGTATCCTCGACGCTACATCTGCGATACAGCGATACAAACCCAAACACGGATGAGATACGCCATGACCAGCCGAGGACAGCCAGCGCCGGAGTGCCCTCAATGCCGCACTCCGCGACATACCCGCCTGTGCCGAAGTACATGAAGTACGCGCCAATGGTGAGGAGGATCATGCCAGTGTAGGACGGATGGCGGGCGTAGCCGTACGGACCCGCGGTAATGAGCTTGTGGTCGTCTTTGACGACGACTTCGAACGTGAACAGGCTGCCGAGGGTATGGTAGGACCAGAGGCGGATGAATGCCCCGGACGAGAGGATAGCAACACCTGCGATGAAGGACGCGGAGAAGGTGGCAAGATGCGCTTGGGAAGGAGTGGCCGGGCAGATGAGTGGCGTGACAGGTAGGGACTGGACGCCAGGGTATGCAAGAAGGAAGGCGTGGAGAAATGATACGGTCATCATCATCACCTGCAGTTGAGATAGGACTGGTCAGCATGTACCCCTAGAAACGTGAACCAGACACTTACACCGGCCGTGTATGCTATGTACCGCACTATGTACTCGTAAGCCTGACCCTTGTATACGGCATTGCTGAGAACGCGAGGCTGAGGCGGAGTGATTGCAACCGTATAGAATGCGGACGAGGCAACGAGGAAGAAAGCTTTGGCGAGTGACATTCTGCGTCAAAGAAACGTTCTGAGATCTGGACATTGGACATGGGCCGTTATATAGCCCCACGGGTTTGCGCATCACCTTCAGTACTTCAAGATCTGCCTACTCACAGCATTATTTCTCCCTCACGTGGAACTTGTACTCGTGGTCGTGGAAAGTATTCGAACGCCCGTGTTTAGGCGCCCATTGACTGCTCCTCCTCCTGGTTCTGTAAGTAGTATAAGTAGACATATCTCTACCGTAATTGAGGTATATATTGCTGTTATTGTCAGGAACGTGTGCACACCATGTGATAGGAATATGATCTCTATCTTGAGCCAAACTAGGCTCAACAAATCTCAGCGTGCTCAGTGAGCATGAGCAGAACATTTGCTATTCTTAGGTGCTGGGAATTGATCAGCATACCTCCATATTCTTGCACATATATCTAGCCATAGAGGAGGGTTTATATCATTAGTGATTGCTAGCTTTTGACCATCTCTTTCTTGAGAAATGGACCTACAATACTAGACCAGCTC